ACACACACACACACACACACACACACACACACGCACACACACACACACACACACACATAAAAATTACATACACAGGGTTACACACATATGAAAATAGTCTGAAAATTTTAAAAACAAAAAATAAAGAAATGAAGAGATATCGAATTCCCCCTTGCGAGAAAAAACGTTTGCTTCATGGGAAAGCGATAAATTTGGAATTTGAGAAAAGCGTCACGCTTGAGCAAAAATACAAAGCCTGCAAAGCTACAAGAGTCACATCGGGTATACCACGGTTACCTGATGGGCACCTCTACCCACCCGTACCCACCCCCTTGTTTTCTTGGCCACCATACCTGCCCATACCCGTGTGTTCTTTTTTATGGCCGCCCGTACCCATTTTATTTTTTTTACCCCTACCCCTACCTGCCCCTACCCACCCATGATCTCCAAAAAGGACAACTGTGACCGCCCTAACAACCACCACCTTTTGTTTGTGCCTGCCCATACCCAACTCCCCCTTCTGAAAGGGTACCCATACCCGCCCATAACCTGGCGGTTACAGTCGGGTACGGCCGGATACGGGCAACGGTTACCCGTTTGCGCTCTCTGGTGCCTGTGTTTTATTCAGGTTAGTATTTTGGAGCTTGGTATATGAGCCGTACCTGGGAGACGGTGAGAATGACAACCATGTGGCGCACGATCTGCATACCTGATGGGTTTATGTTTCCTCCTTCTTTTACTTTATCTCGAGATCTGATTTGATATATGAGTGTTGGGATGTTTATTTATTGATTGATTGATTTTGCTTGTTAATTTTTATAGTTGGACGTTGTAGTTTGTGGCATCCGTCAAAGTCAACCCCCTTAATTTCTCTCCAGGCCTTGGATGATGGAGCTGGTCTCCAGGGCGATAAGAGACGATTGTGTACCACCCACTTGATTTCTCTCCAGGTATGAACCTGTGTACCACCCACTCTCCGCAGGGTGCAGAAGAGGGTGTGTTTTTTAATCGCAGTTGACGGTTGTTCAGCGTCGAGAGATCAATCCCTCAAGGCGCGTGTCAACCGACACTTAAGTGTCGAACGCGACCCTCGAGATTAACGAGGACCGCATGAGTATGGGTACTACATAGTACGCCATCATTGCGACTGCTTGCGTATGCTTGCATTGCGAGTCGATATGAGTTAGCCCTGCGTCCGCGTGGTTTTATACTAAGTCTCGCGCGCGATGCCTATCCGATTTCCGCATCGGAGAGTTATTGGATGGCTACTAAGGGACTAGGAGTGTTGTCGCGTTGTTTGTTATGTGTCATTCTGTATATGTGTGTGTGTATGTGTGCGTGCGTGTTTCAACTTTTATGTTCTTAGAGTGGTGTACGCGTGGTGTGTGGGACGTCGGTTCACGTGCAGGTCCGATAGAGGCGTAAAGCCGCACGTACCCCCTATGCTACAATGAACGACAAACGCCCTCGGCTAGTCCACCTTTTCGATTGCAGCTGATTAGCTTTCGTACTGCGGACAGGTAGCTCGGCGGGGATACGCCCACCGAAGGCAGGTGACAACTCCCGTAAGGTGGAGGTAAATCATGCCTCGCGTAGGCCCTATTCCTGTCGTAAGGGCTCGCGAGAGGTATGGCTGGCGCACTCGGCCGGAGCGGCTTGCAGAAGCTCCATATGTATTCGCGACGAGGATCAGACCGACTCCTGCGTGATGTGGCCGGGAGGGTTCTGCCCCGTTTTGTGAGGTGCCGGACCGATGTACTCGACACCGCTGCACCAGTCTTCCTTTTCATCATGGAAGCAATTGCCTCCTTCCTAAGAAAAGACCCTTCGATCGAAAGACTGGTACAAGATGCACAACACCCAGTTGCCTTACCCACCACCATTTTTTCGTGGACATTTTGAGAGTCCTAATACGAGCCTCAGACTCTTCCTTCCATACCCTCACTAAGGTCATGCAAGCCTTCCAAATTGCATCAGAAATGAGAATGAACTGGCGTAAAACAAGAGGCTAGTGGCTAACTAACCCACAAAATGCGCCCCCTCAAAGTACCCCGGTAGGAATGAACTGGTCTTTTGGCAATGAACCTCTCAGATTCCTAGGAATCCAAGTGTCCAAACACGGCACTAACCAAGCAATGACACCTGCCATAATGAACAAGATGATTGCTAAACTGGCAGCTGGTCCAATGCCCTGATCCTGAATGCATCAATTTTCGCAATGATGCGGTACGCAACCACGATTTGGAGTCCACCTAAGCAGCGAAAACTTCAACTCAGAAGAAGGGCAGCCGCCTATTTGTGGACGGGAGACCCGTCCAAAGACAAATTCATTCCCAAAGTAGCATGGAAGTACGTCACTCTGAAGAGATCGCAATAAGGTTTGGGAATTTTGGACCCGGGAACCGAAATCCACGCCCTTCAAACGAAGTGGATCATCAAAATGATCGTCAATAACAACCTACCTTGGAGCAAGCTAGAACTCCACAAAATACAACAAATAGCCAAATACAAAACCCCAGACAACATTCGTCGTCTATTCTGGATCATGAGTAAGTCCTGGGCTATGAAAGGTGGGGCGCAAACAAATCACCAGGGGGACCAGGAATAAGAACAGGAGGATGATTTTTGGAGGCAACTATTGACAACATTAAGGGAAATATTACCAGCCAAAGTAAGGGAACCAACAATTAAAGAAGACGTCCTCAGGCAACCGATCTTTTGTAACCAAGCTCTGTTGGACCCACAAAGGAAACCATGGACCCTAACCACAAAGGATACAAAATGGGGGGCATGGCTAGAAAAAGGAGTTTGGCAATTCAAACATCTTTGGCAAGATTTGAAAAAAAGATGGAAAACGATAGGAGAATTAAGAGAAACATTGAGGGGAAGCCACAATCTACAAGCCAACCTGAATGACATTCTGATAGCAATACCAAAGCGATGGCATGAGCTAGTGAAGGGTACTTGTGAGTGGAGAACAGGGGACCGGGCAACACAATGATCTGAAAATATCCCCACTGCCGCTTATCAGTTCAGGTCAAGGGAGGGACCAGGGAACACATGGTTAATATGTGACATATACACGATCGAGGACCCGAGATCAACCACAAGCCTCTTAGGTAGTAATGCTTCAAGAGAGATAGCCTTTCCAAAACAAGCATTAAGGAAAGTAAAAGTGGTAAAATCTGTGGAACGACGCATATATGAACCTCTAGTGGGCATAGCAGTTTTGGAAGTCGACCAAGCAGAATGGGCTTGGAAGAGGAAGTTAAGCAGGCTAGGAATAGAGAAGCGTAATAACATCCTTGAATACTCCACTAAGTTGGGATATTCCCTAAGAATGAGATCGGCCTCAATAGCCCAGATCATCAACCAAAGATGGGAAAACCACCTCAATCTACCACCAAACCAAACTCTCATATCCTTATTTAGTACACTGCTCGTCATCTCCCCCGTTAAGATAAGAAGTTTCCAACGGCTGCTAGCCCATCGAGCGCTCCCAGTTAACAAATGGTTGACCAAAAGAAGGAACGCCCGGTTGCAATGCCCTATGCAAGAACTATGTTCCATTTGCCAGGAGGGACTGACATAAGATATATAACACTGTTTGCTTGAATGCAGAAAGCCAAACAGTTATGAACACAAGCCTTCTAACTTTGGCTCTCAATCACTGGCAAAGCAATGCCGTCAGATCGAATCTCTCTCTTACTGGGATTACACACTGACAAGGCATGGCAGGGATTCGAAGTTTCCTTCTTCCAAGTTCTAAGACGGGCGACCTTATGGATGATTTGAAGCGCAGGTGCCAAGAAACGCTTAGCCACTCAACTATAGCACGCCAAGAAGCTTGGGAAGGAGCCTTGCAAATAGTAGAGGTCGAATATAGAGGACGATGGAAAAGAACCTGCAGGAAAATAGAAACGAATATTGCTAACAAGGACATAATAATAGAAGCTTTCATAAAACACCAGTTAAGAGAGGGCAGGATTGCCGAAATAAAATAGGACAGACTCCAATTCATTCAATGGCGACATACTCATCCAAGGAGGCAGGAGATAGACGCCCCTGGAAGCAGACCTTTGCCTGGACGAATGCCTTGCGGCGTCACATAATATCCCAGGTACTCCGGCTCCTGCTGTGCAAATTCGCATTTGTCGCGGTTGGCTTTGTACTTGGCTTGTCGTAGCCGCTCCAAAACGGTGCGTAGGTGTTCCACATGCTCGTCCAAACTCCGGTTGTACACCAGGATGTCGTCGAGGTAGATAAGTACGAATCGATCTAACATGTGTCGGAACTCCGTTGTCATAGCCGCTTGGGAAGTGGTCGGGGCATTCGTAAGGCCAAACGGCATAACCAGCCATTCAAAATGCCCATATCGCGTCTTAAACGCGGTCTTGTAGCAGTCCTCCTGCCGAATCTCGAGTTGGTGATATCCCGACTTGAGGTCAAGCTTGGAGAAGAACTTGGCGCCGTCCAGCCTTTCGAGAAGGTCGTCGATGCGTGGAAGAGGGTCGGCGTTTCTGATCGTTTGCGCGTTGAGCTTGCGATAATCGATGCACAACCACAAATCCTTGTTCTTCTTCCGGACGAAGAGAACGGGGGCACCGTATGGCGATGAGTTACGCCGAATCCAGCCGTTCTCCAGAAGGTCGTCGAGTTGTGCCCGCAGCACACTTAACTCTTCCTCGCTCATTCGGTAGATGCAACCACGCAGAGGTACAGCCCCGTCCTTGAGGATGATCTCGTGGCGGATGGGCCGATCTGGTATTACTCCGTGCGGCGAACACGTCGCCGTAGGCGTCGAGAAGTTCGATGATGCGTGGGTCCGAAGATGAGTCCGTCGATGAAGCGTCATGTGGAGAAAACACACCCCCATCTCCTCGATGTCGTCTCTGATGATGGAAGCTCGCATGCTTGCGGCGGACACCACGTGGCAGCTGATCGAAGGGTGAGGAGGAGCTACCGTGCAT